TTACACATATCCTATCAAACATATTCATCTGTATCTGCACCTCCACACTAACACACATTCTCTAAAAAACCGCACGTGAATACACACCTCAACATCACTAGCGCGCATGTTCACGAACCACGCGACCTCATCCAACATGGTCAGAACCAGAGCGTTGCATTTTTTCTTCGCCATATTTTCTCGTGCAATCTGGATCTTCACGGCTACGGTTTGTCCAGTGGTGTCGTCAGGCAGATGGAACACCTCGGATTTGGGCAAGGGCGGGCGGTCCATATCCTCCCAAATCTAGGACAGGGGGTTGTGAAAACAGGACAAATACAGCCCCGAAGTTATTCGTCTGCCCCAGTCGCATAGAATAAGACACCCAGTACACATCAAGTTAAGTCAATGTTCGGTGTGTCTGGGAACAACTCCGCCGTATCTTCCTCGTAGCGTATCTATCCCGTCAGAAGAAACCGTGCGTATTGACTAGCACGGCACGGTGTGTTTGAGTAGTCTCCTGCTCTAGCGCGGTATCCCACCACCAATATACAAAAACAAACCATTGCAGCCTTTCACCTGCCATGAGACTGTGAGACTGTGAGACTGTGAGACTGTGAGACTGCAGACTTGCAGTTGCCATAAAACACTAAAACCCAAACGATAGGCCTCTACTACCTACCATAGTCTGGTTTCTGAGTCTGTGCTATATATAGACTGCTGATATACACTTGACTACATCTAGTACTGAGATTTTGCGGTCTTGTAGTACCTGCCTACATTAGCGTATGTATTAGCAGCTCGTTCACATGTTAACCCTAAACCCTACAGTCACTGAAGCTCAAGATCGGACATGCAGGGGCTCATGACCTCACGTGCCTGACTAAATCTTAAAAGCCCTACCACAGTGTATAAAGAATATTCATGCGACTGTACATGGAACACCCACCGAGCCATTACCTCATCCACAAGGTTACGCCCAGACAACGGGACCAGGGTATTGCATAAAGATCATTCATGCGACTGTACATACACCCACAGAACACCCACCCAGCCATTACCTCATCAACAAGATTACGCCTAGACAACGGGACCAGGGTGTGGCCACTTCTACGCAAAGACTTCATCAATCCCCTGTACTGTTTGTAGGGGATCAGAGACGTATCAACCCCCACAGAACTCTTCGCAGGGAGACTGTCGCACAGCCACTCTTCTTTAGTAGGTACACCTTTCGAACCTGTACGCATGAGGGTCCAATTCTCGTCCATTTCCTCTGCGGCCTGTAGGAAGTATCTATAAAATATATCTTGGATGAGTACACCCACACAAGTGATTAGAGGCACTGATAAATCGAGATTCGATACGTAACGACAGAACCACGCGGTGATGGTGATATTGGAACATTACCGAGAGAGAAAAGTGCAGGAAACAGTACTACACCACTTTCATTTGACGACGGATGGTCATGCAGTAAACCTGTAAGTGGATTTATTAATATAAATGCATATACATACATACATAC